TCAGGTTCTTATGTCCAGTAATACAGTGTGCTCACAGAAGAGCAAATAAAGTATATAAAGGAATTGATAGTAGGCATAAAAATTCCCTGTCGTTTAACCCTTAGGAAAAAAAGACTTCAGAGTCTTATGAAGAATGAAGAAGAGATTGATAATTTATTCTCTAAGTCCATATGGAGAAATATATTTAAATAGTATTAATTCTGTTAGTCATAATGATAGAACAGTTAACAATGACATTGATTAAACACTGAAGCAGATTACTAAAGAAGATAGAGTTTCCATTTTAAACCATTTGAAAGAAAGGAATTAACAGGATAGTTTTATTTTAAGCTTTCTTCTGCCTGAAGATACGAGTTTGAATCAAGAGTGAATGTTTTTTCTTTAAAACCTTTATCTTCTCTAATTGACTAGTGTGCCTATAACTTCCCTTTTTGTTGCATTGTATTGCCTTATATATTTATATTTCTGTATGCAGTACTTTTTTGGGTGATGGGGCAACCCAAAAAAGCTCAACCAAAGCTTTTAGTAGCTTCACCCTATTATCACTTCATAATGGTCTTTCTTCTGGGTTAGAGAGTTTAGAGAAAATAACTGAAGACTGAATTAGAGTCACTAAGTGCTCTCTTCTCTTGGTTAGAGACAGTATTAATTGAAAAATTGAAGTTAAGTCAGGCTTTGAAAAAGGTAAAGAAAACTTGGCAAAATGCAGTATGATGGAGCAGTATCTTCAAATTGACTTGAAAAGTCAAAGTGCATTATGCCTGTAAGTTACTCTCAAATATTATGGAAAAAGTTGTATGTGCAGATAGCCAGGTAAATAGGTAGATTTGGAGAGAATGAATAATAAATGTGGTAAAATGTTAAGATTTGGAGAACCTGAGTGCCTTCACCCAGTATATAGGAATTCTTCGTACTGTTTTTGCAACTTTTTTATAAGACAAATTATTTCAAAGTAAAAAGATAAAAAGAAATGACATACCTGCAGTCAATTCCTGTCAGCTGTTTCATCTGTCTTTGAGCATGTTCATGCAGTTAGCGAAGTCTTGGCTCTCATTTCTTCTTTCTTTTCTTGCCATTTTTCTAAATGATTTCCGTGTCTTAATAGGTGACACTTTCAGTACCTAGATTCCTTAATTTCTTCTTCTCCAAGTACCTTCACCATCAGTCTATTTCATTAATCCATTCCCAGAACCACATCTTGGACTTTGTGTTACATATTACTCATTTTAGAAATTCTGACTTCCTCACTATAACATCTTGTCATCTCAAGAAAGATATATAAGAAATGTCTGTTTTTCCTAAAGCTATTTCTTCTTTGTACCCATGCTTGTTCTTTCTGGTTTTTTTTTTCTTAGAGTATATCACCTTTTTCTTTACATCCTCTAACTCACACCATTTGGTAATTGATTGCTTTGTACATTCCTACTTGTCTTTTGTTGGAACAAATGCCTTTGTGAAATCTTCCCAGAGTCTCTATTTGAGCATTAGTATGTCTAGCATGTGGTTTTTTTTTTTTTTTTGCATGTTTTATATTTGGTCTCTATAGCTCTAGTATAGTCCTTATTACATTGTATGCAGATCATTAGACCAGTTTGCCTTACTCACTGTACTATAGAGTCCTTGAAGGTGAGTCTGCTTCCCACTTGTCTTTCTTTTTCTCAGTACTTTCATATAACATATCACGTTGAAGGTTTTCCATGATTATTAAATTAAGGAATAAATAGATTAATTAGAAAGGTCAAACTTTTTATACAGAGATTGAATTCTGACACAGGATAATGCAACATGGCAGAATAGAAGAGCATTGAGAGAGGATTTAAGCAACATTTGCTACAATAGTTGGTCAAAAAAATTGGCAGACAAAAAGAAAATTTTGTATATCAGCCTTGTTTACCCTAAAGTAAAAGTAAATCTCAGTAGAAAAATATGGATAGTCTGGTTTACAGAACAGGCTCCAAATGTGTGATAAACAGTTACAGTTAGTCTGAAAGTTTTTAGTACAGAGAAAGATTAGAAGCATCTAGAATTAATCAGAGGTTCTTCAAAAATATTAAACATTTGGAATTCAAATCCAGAAGTTCATTAGGACTTGCTGAGTTTATTTCAATAATACTATAAGAGATTATAATTATTAAAATCCAGAAAGGATTTGCAAAGAGTCTTTTAATTGGGAAGGTCACACATCTGCTCTGAGTCTGGAGAAGATAGTATAGTCTGGGTGAAAAGGCGCTGAATTACCAAGAGTTCATCAGATCAGAAAACTTGACATTCTATAAGCTGAAGTAAGGAAGAGAGCTATAAATATAGTAAGTAGATAGCAAGTAGAGATACCATGGAGGGGGTAAAGTAAGCGCTAGGAGTAGGTTAGAAATAAAAACTAAAAGAAGAAAGCTGCTGAACTAGACCTAGAAATAGAGATAAAAGTATGGGACAAGTTGTAGATAGTGGTAAGATAATGGTAATGTGGATAATGGAAAATAGATCAAAGACTCAAGACTTAAGATTCTGAAGCAGTTGGTATAGTGTCATCCTGGAGAACAGGGAACTTTTTAGCTGGAAGTACTCCATGGCTCATCTTTTTACCTTTTGGGGAACCTTTGTACCCATAAATTGGAGAATAGTATAGGCCCTTATAGTAACATTTTGGTACATCCCTGGGGACAAGTTGTGTTATTTTGATATTGCTTACAGTAACTATTTATAATTCTTTTTCATTTCAGTTTCAGTTGATCCTTGAACAATCGGGGGTTAGAGGCATCAACCTCCATGAGTCAAAAATTCACATATAACTTTTGACTCCCCCAAAATGTAACCGCTTAATAGCCTACTATTGACTAGAAGCCTTAGCAATAATAGTCAATTAACATGTATTTTGTGTATGTATTATACTGCATTCTTAAAATAAAGTAAGCTAGAGATGAGATAATGTTACTAAGAAAATCATAAGGAAGAGAAAACATATTTACAGTGTTCTGTATTTATTGAAAAAAATTCACAGATAAGTGCAACTGTGCAGCTCAGACCCGTGTTGAAAGATAAGTTGTACTTTTAAAGTTACATATGTTAGAAAGAATGGTTTATTGACAATATAGTGGTATTCTTTAATGTCCATTTACAAAACTCCCTAATTTAGATTTGGGGGGTTCCATTCTACTGACACCAGCCTCTTCTAGAGAAGTAGCATGATGAACATGGGAAGCAAACCATGTAAGCATTTTGCAATGTCAAAAACTTACAAATAGTCTTCAGATACCTAGAGTTGTTAGAGTTTAAATCAAAATAATATAATGTTGAAATTTCATAGATAGCTTACAGTATGTAATTATGATAGCACATTTCCCTTTTTCTTTCCTCAAACAAATTGAACTCGAGAGGAATTTACTAAAAACAGATGGTTTCTGATTTAGATTCAGCCACCAACAAGATAATGTCCAGGACTTGGAGTTTATAACTAGCCACACCTAATTTCAGCATATCTATAAGCAAAGAATTTCTCCTTGAGGAATGAATACTTTGTGAAAGATAGCTTATTTATGAGTGCCCCTATTTTTTTTTTAATTTTTATTTATTTATGATAGTCACAGAGACAGAGAGAGAGGAAGAGACACAGGCAGAGGGAGAAGCAGGCTCCATGCACCGGGAGCCCGATGTGGGATTCGATCCCGGGTCTCCAGGATCGCGCCCTGGGCCAAAGGCAGGCGCCAAACCGCTGCACCACCCAGGGATCCCGAGTGCCCCTATTTTATTTTTATTCTGAAACTACTCTCCTTTGCTCTTCTGCTTAAAAGCATTTTAAGTTTGGCAGGTTGGAGAAACCATCATCAACAAACAGGTGAGACTCACCTGCTTTTTAAAGTTCAAAGATTATTGATGCTAAAAACAATAAAGTATTTGTTACAATCAGTATTTGTGCCTATTGGTCTAATTTACTGATAAAAGAGTTTGTTTTATGAACTTGTGTGTCATTTTCTTCCAAAAATTTCACCATATCATCAGATATACTATTCCTTTGAAATAGCTATTATTTATGAGTTATAGCTTAAAGTAACTCTTATGAAATAACCAGGCTTTACAAAAAAAATTCTTTCTTTTTTTTTTTAAGATTTTATTTATTTATTCATGAGAGACACAGAGAGAGAGAAAGAGAGGCAGAGACACAGGCAGAGGAAGAAGCAGGCCCCATGCAGGGAGCCCAATGTGGGACTCGATCCCAGGACTCCAGGATCATGCCCTGGGTTGAAGGCAGGTGCTAAACTGCTGAGCCACTCAGGAATTTCCCCCAAAGAGATTTTCTAATGTATAATGTATATCTGATAAAATGGAAGTTAAAAATAATTCTTATACTGTGTTAATTTTAATACTATGATAATATGATAAAAATAAAAGCTAATATTTACTGATGTACTGAACACTAAACCAAGTACTTTACATATATTAACCCAGTTAATCCTCAGAGTAACTCAGGTAAAAGTACTATTAAATTCTCATTTTACAAACAAGAAACTTAGGCTTGGATAGGTAAGTAACATGACCAAAGTTATGTGCTTGGCAAAGCTGGAATTCTAACGTAGGCAGTCTGATACCAGAGTTGCATGCAGAGTATCACTTCCCTATAATCATTAACTTACTGCATCCTATTTTTTTGAAATCTAGAAAATAATGCCCTATGTCAGTGTTTCTCAGCTTTGATTGTATGTTGGAGTTACTTGGACTCCAGCAGATTTTGATTTAATTAGTGTAAGATACGTTCTGGGCTAAGGATTTCCAGAAACTCCTCAGATTATTTCCACCTGCAGTCAAGGTTGTAAACCATTGCCCTAAATACCCACCAGAAGTGGAAAAACTATACATGCTTACCTGATTACAATAGGAAGAAGACTAGTAAATGCATCTTTAAAACTATGAGAGCACCTATTTCCACAAAAATACTCATTTGAATGATTTCATATGTAGCTATGGTATTTCACATAACATTTGTTTTTGTTTTGTTTTAAATACAGAGATAGGCCACTATTATCTGGAACAAGAGACTACAGGAAGAAATAAAAGTACAGAGCCAGATGAACAACCAACTGTGAATTCTAAGGAAGACATGCATCAGAAATCCAATGAATTAGTTAATGAAGCCACCCATGAGGACACAGAACTGCCAGGGCAGAAATCAAGGAATTTTCCTTATCCAGGTGATGAGACAGCTGACTGCACTGCTAAAAAATCCAAGTGAGTGCCCACAGCCTTAAATTTAGAAAATAAGATTGAGAGGACTCTTTCTTCTCTTCCACCCTCCTCCATTCGTCCCTCCCTCCTTCCTTTTTGGCTTGGGATAAGTTGAACATATCATTAATTTATTAGAATTTGGGCAATCTACTGGAGTTTTCCCGTTTTCTTTACATTGATGTAATGCATGTAGATTGCTAAGTGAAAAAGCACAAGATGAGTTTAAATGAAGGCCTTGAGATTTTATGCCTTCTTGTTGAATAGTATTTTCTGTGTCTTTTGATTTTGAATCTGGAAATAACTGTTGTTATAAATGATAAAGTATTTATCAGAGCCAAAAAACTGGCAATTCTGGGACAAAAATAAGCCCCCAAAGATGTGTTTTGCTTTGGGTTAGCATGATTTTTTGTTCAAATGAAATGCTTCTGGAAAGGCCTTTTACTCTCCCATTTGTCTTCCTTACTATTTTCTATTCTGCAGCTTTTAACAGTCACCTTACCTAGTGATTCCAGGAAAAGATTTGATTTTGTGACACCTGTGACTTTTACCTCGCTGGGGTTAAGTACTTTAATGATTCATCATATATTTTGAAAATATTGCAGAATTACAAAAACTTCAATGACTAAATAATTGTATATTCAGTCTAAACAAAATGTTATTTAATATATTTTAATGGTTTTGTATAAGAACAGCTAAATAAGTAAAATAATTACTTAAAAATTATTCAGTAGATGTATTTTAGTGTGTTCCTGCTTCTTGGCAAACAGTTTATCCTTACTAAAGTACAAATTTGAAATATACTTTTGGGGATAGGAGTAGGGATGAATGAAGAAGTGATAAACATTTTATAACCACATGGGATAAAATAAATAGTAGATATGGGCTTAACATAAGAGTATGAAATATCTAGTACAATTGTAACAGAAGAAATACATAGTAGGCAGAGCTGCTCTGACTGTCCCAGGCCTCACTGCTTAACAACTTCTTAGAAACTAAGATTTACCTATGTTGACAAACTGTTCACAAAACAGTCCCATCTCTTTTCCCTCCCCTTCTTTGTACTACTTGCTCACAAGTCAATACTGTTCTCAAACAGCATACAAAATGTCAAAAATTCATTTACCATTAAATGTCACAGGAATAGGTTTTCATTTTTAATTTGTTTTGAATTTAATAATGAAAAAGTGATATTCTGTTGCCCAAATTGAAAAAAGTATATTCTTATTTTCCAAAAAATGAGATACATTTCTCCTGACAAAAAGTATAAATTGAATTATTCTCAACCCTTAAAACCTGAATTCTTTAAGTGTACTGAACCATGAATCTCTGTAGAAGTTACTAAATGCTTACATAGATTTAGCTCTCTTAGTCAGTGGATTAGCACTCCTGTGAAATTGATGTATTTATTCTTTTTGATCCAAAGTATTTTCTTAACAGTGCATAACAAGAAAAATTTAAAATTAAGTGACTTTACATATTTATTATTAAAATTAAGTTTGTCTCCCTCATTTGCAGTGTAAAATTTATAATGCTAAATCATAGAAATCATATGTATATATTAATAGCTTTCTTTATTACAGCATTATGGAACATAGAGATAATGATTTGCATCGTGAGTGTATGATCCCTTGTCGAGTTACTTCAGATTTAGATAAGAAGAAAATAGCATTTCTTCTAAAAGAATTGGACTTTCTCAGAGCAAGCAATAAAAAGGTACATCATAGAAAATCTAATAATTATATAGTGACCGTTTAACTGTTGACCTTCTAGGTTTTGCTTTTATAATTCAGTTTCATGATGTATTTTTATCCTTTAATGGTATAGCTTTATGTTGTTGACATACCATGTCATCAGAGTATGACTAAGTGTAGAAATAGGCTTTAAAAAACAATTTCTTTCATTTCTTCCCTGGCTGGCCTGTGATATCACTTCCCTTTTTCATAAATCCATGGTACCTGGAGTAGGTACCTAAAAAAAGATTCATTCACATTTTACTGTAGTGGAAGTTTACTTCAGTGAGAAATAAAATACACTGATTTCATGTTACTTAACTATTTTTCTTTTTTTTTTTTATTGGTGTCTGTGCCCTGTATTTCACCTCAATAATATATGTAATTAAACTTTAAAGTCATAAGGCTTGGCAGTATTGTCACATCCCTTGTAGTGTTATATACTGCTTCATTTTGTCCAATCCAATATGTCATGTCATGTTGTATCTTTCCTCTTTCTAGTTACATTTCTTGAGCATTCAATAATGTCATTAAATAGTGTTCATATTCTATGCCTTCTGTTTTTTTTAACCTCTGCATACCTCTACATACCTTTCTGATTTTAATAGTCTAGTTTTTTGACCCAGTCATACTGAAGCACGATGTTAGGAATGTTGATCATGCCTGATGGAAAACAACACAAATGACAAAAGCCAGGGGAGAAATTTAAAAAAACAGTTGAGGGGTTCTGTATGAAAGTAGGAGATATTTTCTGTATTTTCATTTAGCAATTATTTATTACATGCCAGTTACAAATCAGGTGCCAGTGCCAATTTAAATGGAATATGATGGGATAGCAATCTCAAAGGAGATTTGTTTCATATATTAAGATTATTATCTTAATTAATTTTGTTTCAAAATATTAGAATTACTAAGAGAAGCTATAAAGCAGTGCTGTTTTTTTATTAGGATAGTGCCTTCCAAGTCTTTTTCACTTTAAGACAAAAGAACAGATCAGATTGCTTTTTGCAGTAATTATTTTTGATAATTATGTCATGCTTTCTTTGATTTCATTTGTTTGTACACATACATACAAATTAAATGTATATCAAAATGTTTTTATAATCTCTATATCATTATAGGTAGTCATTACTTTATAAAATATCTTAACATTGTAAATATTGTGGGATTTTTACCCCCCTGGAGTTATGTATTTAGGCAGTTAAATATAATATAGAAGAGTTTAGAAAAAATAATTTCTACTTTGGATTAATTATATTTCTGCAAGAAATTTGTCAGATAAGAATCAATGTTTTTTCAATGTGTCTTAGCTTCAAGAAAAGTTGACTAAAGAAGATAAAGAACAGAGAAAACTAAAGCTTAAGCTGGAACTCCAGGAGAAAGCAACAGAAGCTCAAATTGCTGAAAAGACAGCAGGTATAGTAGATGAGTATTAACATATGGTCTTAAGAATCATGCATAAGGTTATTCTATGATGTGGCTTGGTGAATACTAGCATACTAGCTTATTTGCCAAAGGAGGGGAGGCTCTGTCCTTTTTTTTTTTTTTTTTTTTTTGGCCGCATAGAAAATAGGTGGCTTTAACATCCTGGTACTGGTATTAGTGAGAGCTTTACCTGTATTCATACTGATTTGGGCATTAAATGCATTGTTAACACCATGTCAATCCAATCACAAAAAGGTTGTTTGTTTTGTTGGAAGGGCCTGAACAAACAAGGGGAAATAATGATTACCAGTGCCTCTACCTTTCAACCAGCAGTTCAAATACCACTTATTGTTTTAGCTCCTTGAGAGGAAATACTTCTCTTTTGTGTGAAGATAGTCATATATTCATTGCCAATGGAAACCTACATTTGATTCAAAAATCCGTTTTGTGCAATTAATAAATTTTCATCTGATGATGTGGATGATGATGGAGATAATGTTTTCGCTGAAGATTAAAATGAAAGGTTGCCAGAGTTTAAGATTATAAATGACTACCTTAAATATGTTTTGGAGTCTATCTTTACTCACAGGTCTTTGCAAGGAGAAATTTTTTAAATGTATCTGTGATATGCTACAGATAAGATCAGATTATTCTCAATAGCCTGTAACACTCTTCTTCACACTGTTTTGTGTTAAGGATAGAAATCTCATAGTATAATAGAAATTAACATGCAGGGGCATTTTAGAGATTACTTATTTTGAAGTTTTTATATCAGTTGGAATGATTTTAAGAAAAAATTGCATTTTGTGATTAGTTTGAAGTTATAATCATACTTTATGAGCTACATTAAGCTGTTTGCATATATGAAAGAATTCCGATATTTTAGATGAGGGACATTCACTGGTATAGCCTGTCTTTAAAATAATACTATGCAGAATAGAACTAAACATCACTATAAAAATATAACGAAAATTACCATAAATAAATACTCCAGCTAAAATAACAAATGTTATTATTGTTAATGTTAAACTACCATGAATGTTGTGTTTATTATTTAGTGAAGAAATATGAGACTAATATATTTTAAGAAAAATTAACAGCAACATACTGTTACTGTTAATTGTACTGTAAAATGAAGAATTCAGATATAAATTTAGAACAATTTGGAAGTGTCTTGGCTTTTTATAATCCAAATTGTATATACTAATTGCTAGGAAGGTATTATAAAAAGTACATTTGTTTGAAGGTGTTTGCATCATAATAAGATTTTGCATACAGGAGTAGTTTGATAAGATTTAGGCCATTTCACAAATAAAAAGCATGAATTAATTTGCATAGATCATTTATGTCTATGGAGAGAAAACTCATTAAGCAGTATTATCTACTCTTAAAACTTTTTTAAGATATAGCTAATCATCTACGTCAAATATTTACTTATTTGTATATACTTAAGACTTCCATTTGACCAAATAGTATGAATCACGCATGCATAAATTGGAAAGAATTTGATTGCTTTTTGATTCTTGTTAATTAAATATTTCTCATTAATGATATAATATTTTAGTAAATGTTTGAAAAATGCTTAGTATTTTCTGTAGCCTCCTAAATTGATGAAAATAGCAGTGCTGTAGTTTCTCTGGAACAAAGCAATCTAGTTAAAAGAGATACATCCAACCACTTAGTTACAAAAATGACACAAAATGAAAATCCTCAAGTTTTTTTAAAGTATAAATTTTCAGTGTATATCTTTTTAATGTTTCAATTCTACCTTTTAAAAAAAGGTCAAAGATATTTTTCTTGTGACATTATTTTCTTTGTCATTATGAAGAATCATCATTGTAATATGTCAAAAACTTTTTTAAAACTAAATTGCTTGTGAAATCCATTGGTTTGAAACCAAAAGAAATTCATTAAGTGATTCTTGATAGACTCATAATTTTTTCATATTTTCTCATACATGCAATCTTAAAGCTTATTTTCTACCTCACTGGTAGTAAGTGCAGTCAAAAAGCAAAACACAGGAACAAAATCAACTATGTAAAATATCTTAATAGAAAGAGGAACATTATTGGAATATGATTACATGTGAAAAATGGTTTCTTTGGTATCGTATGGAAGGACAAGTAATCCATATAACAAGAACAAAAAAATCCACATAAATGTTGATGTTTATTTCTATCATTGCAATTTTTATATTCAAAATAAAAAGTATATTTGATTAAGTATATTATAAATATGCACACACATTTATATATTATAATGTACCTAAGCAGAATATAAATGTTTATAAAGATCAGATATTCCACATTAGAAGAAATACATGCAAAAACATCTCTAAACTAAACATTGGAAATTGCAAATATAAAAAAAATGTATGTTTATAAGTTTTTCAAATAGAATGTTAATTAAAATATGAAGTACTCAAGGAAAATAGCCATTTCCTTACAGTATGTGATACAAAGACTTATATATAAGAATATTCATATCAGCCAGAGGTTAAAATCAATCAAATACCAAGAGAATGATTAAACAAATTAAGGTACATTTATGCTGTCAGATATCATGTGATAGCTAAAAACTATTCCTGAATAGTATTTGGTGATTTGAGAAGATCTTCATGACTCAACATTGAGTGAAAAGTAGGAGAAAACTGTATTTATAATTAATTTTGTTAAATACATTTATACATTCACATTATATAAAACAAAAGGCAAATTTTGGTAATATTAATGGATGTATTAATATTTCAATTAACAGTTGTCTACCTTTTCAAGTTTTTGCAATGAGTATAGATTAGTTTTAGTATTAGTACTGCTGTGATTAGAGATTAGTATTACAAATCACTAAAGATGTGATTTTAAATTACTTGCTCTCTAATCTTAAAGTGATTCCTGTGGTAGGTTTGATACACAAAGACCACATAAATCAAAGTTTTATGAAATTTATGATGACTGTGATCAAATCTTGTCATTTTACCTATGCCATTTTTGTTGTCTTTCAGATTTTCACCTTATTTTGTTTTTGTGTTTATGTGTAATATGTAATTTACATATATATTAGTTCATCTTGTCTTCCCAACTGATTGAATATAAGCCTCTGGTGTAGGCAAAACCACATAAAACAAAGGGTGTCCAGTTCTTTGTGAGTCACATTGAAATAATGGGAAGACCAAAAGCCTTGGAATCAGACTGACCCAGGTCCAAATCACAGCTTTAATATTTGATACCAACTGTGTGCTTTTGGCAAGTTTCTTATTAGCTTTTCAGATTTACTTTTTCTCTTCTGTAAAATGGGAATAATAACTAATTTACCAGATTATTTTAAGGATTATAGATAATGTATAAAATCACCTAATATATAACTGGTATTCAGTAAATTGTAACTATTAGTAATATTGATTATTTCTGTCTTTATAAAGTTCTTAAATCTTTAATAATATCAGAAGTCATGAAAAGATTTTTGTTCTGTTTGACTTTTAATTAAAAATACATTCTACTTAAATGTGAATCCAAAATGAAAGAAATGGGATAACAAGGATTGGGGCTTTAATCTAATGTATATCTATAATAAACCTTCATGTAGACTGTTAAAATAGTGTCAAGCCTGTTTCCTTTACTTCCCTGTTGGTTTTTACCTACTGTGAGTACTGTCATTCTAATATGATCTCATGAGAGTTTAAAACTCAATTATCAAAAAAAATAATAATAAAATAAAACTCAATTATCTCCTCTGTTGTGATAAAATCTCAAATGATTGACCTTTTTGCCTCCCCTTCTTTTTTGACATCCCTATCACCATCAATATTATTTTATTACACTTTATAGGAACTCAACTAACTTCCTTAAAAATCAAACAAGAAGTATTTATTGAAGGGCTATTTCGTACAGGGCTGTATACATACAGAAATATTTATTGAAGGGCTATTACTAACAACATTGCATTGGGCACTGAATATACACCAGCAAATAAAATTTGGGATGTCAGACATTTCTTTTTGACTATATTTTTCACTCATAATGCACTATTGAAGTAGGTAGTGGTTAAATGTTTAGACTTTGGATTCAGATCTTTGTTCTAATCTTTTTACCACTTACCATGTGTAAGTGATAGCCTCACAAAGCTTTGGTTAAAATTTATTTTATAGGTTGCTGTGACATTTAAGTGAGATGATGTTTATGAAGTGTTTAACCCATAGAAGGCACTCAATAGATAAGATGATGTAATCATCTTGTTTTCTCAAGACTCCTTGATTTAATAAGGGATATATTCAAAGTGTGCCTAATATAAGTAACTATCACATAACTATTTATATATGGTTTTGTTTCTCAAAGGATTGATACATATTTCTTTTTTAAAAATTATCAAATATTTTTATTTCATTTATCCCCACAGTTTTCAATTTCCCTTGAGTATAAGACTTAATCTTATTAAAAATTTTGAAAATATGAAATTATTTAATCTTAACAAAAAAAGAAAATAAAGGAAAATATATAGTAAGTAGGTCCTACTTAGCAAAAGCTGAAATAACCAGGTCATTCTCTTTATGTTTTTTTTAATTTTTCTTAATTTCTTTTAAAGATTTTATTTATTTATTTATTCATGAGAAACACAGAGAGAGGAGAAACATAGGGAGACTAAGAAACAGGCTTCCTTTGGGGAGCCTGATGTGGGACTCTATCCCAGGACTCCAGGGTCACGACCTGAGCCAAAGGTAGATGCTCAACAACTGAGCCACTGAGGTGCCCTCCTTGTGTGTTAACATTGGGAAAAATTTATCTTACTGCAGCTATTTAGGAATTTTTCCTGTATTTTAACTCACTAAATTGTACATGTGCATAAGATTATTTGGAAATTATTGACATACATGACCTTTAAGTACTAGGGGATAGTTTAAAGAAGCACAACAGAAACATTGACTCTATTCTTTACGATTTCTTTTCATCTAAATAAAATTATTAAACCACAAACACCTCAAAATTTGTTTTACTTGA